CTCCTCAGGCTTCCTGTGTTCTGAGCTAATCAGTTCTGAGCAGAAGTAGTGAGCTCCTGCAGTATAAATGGAAATAACTTACACTTGTGTTTCCCAAACCAACTACAAAATCCATTTTTGAAAACAACAAGGCAAGAAGAAAACAACAGAACCACTTTTTAAAATTCATATAAACCTTTGGGGTCAAACTTCTGCCACTAAAACAGGTGTATAGTTGCTGTTTGCACTACAAGTTAGTGTTACTTTGAAAATAACTAAAGTACACTAAGGGATTTTACAGTTTACATATTTGCAGCAGTTTGTGTGAGCATGCAAAGTACAAAGTGTAGTGAGCAACACTCTCGACAGAGGTGAGATCAGCAAATTACAAGTGGCGACACAGTCGTCTCACAAACAAAATGTTTATGCAAATACATCTGAAAGTGCATTAACAGTATGTGTCAATCCACCTGGGCTCTAGACTTTTACTGTGTACACACATAAAAGTATTATTGCCCACCTTCTGCCTTTTAAATGATAAATGACAACTGGCACTAAAACAATGAGACTCAAACACCTGGATATGTTTTTCTTTATCTTTAAAAATTTAGAAGGTAAAGTCATTAAGGCTATCATTAATTACTGATATAGTTTGACAATAATAATAATAGTATCCTTATGACACCCCTTTGTACATGCAAGTAGTTTGGGCGTATGTGTCTCTGTCCAGTCAGCCTTACCTGAGCATAGTCCCGCTCCAGCTGTCCCTTCTTCAGACTGTAGCTCCTGCAAAAAGAAAGAAAAGCCTGTTGAAGTGCTTTCAAGAGTTCAAACTATTTTTTTTAATTTAACCTTTATTTTACCAGAATAAAAAAAAAAACACATTGAGATTAAAAATTCAATAGCCTGAGTAGGAGTGGATCCAGTGCAATAAATAACTGTCGTCTGCATAAATGTGCCAATTAGGATCAGACACATTCTGTCCCAATTCATTTATATAAATTATGAATAGAAGAGGACCTAATATAGATCCCTGAGGTACCCCCTTATGAACTGTTACAACTTCAGAACACAAATTATAATATTTAATACATTGTGTCCTATTCTTGAGATAATTTAT